AGTTCTGCTTCTGAAAATACTAGCTGTCTGGCTGCCTCATTAATATAATGTCTGGGATTCTGGAACAAGAATGTGGCCGGTGAAGTCCAATCCCTGACCTATGGAAGCCACTGGATCAGCACGACAGACAGGCAGCTCTTATTTTCAGGAGAGGTCTCCATATTTCGGGTCGGTCTTTGATATCAGGAAACTGCTGGACCCTCGCGGTGACTATTACCAGCGCCATAGGCGGTCCAGCTCAGTACCGCACGGGGGTTTCTATTATTCTGGCCACAAGCTGTAGGTAATAGCAGATCATTTACGTGCCTTTTGCTGTCCGCAGGGGCCATGGAGAGGATCCAGAAAGTGAAGAAGAATCGCGGTTATGAGGAGGAACTTTCCGGCGTCCTCGGCAAGCAGGACAAAGCTCCCGCCTCCGGTTAGTGTCACTGTGACTCCGGAATCCATCTCCCTTTTTATCCGATGACCTTGGCGTCCTGCGCTCAGCCATTCATGTGATACCCAGCCGAGCTTCACCGCTAATACTGCGGCAGGCGGCGGCAATCTGTGAAATGACGGGATGTTCCTGTGCAGCTGAAACGTGATATCTTCTATCCAATCATAACCATTAGAACCATATAAAGGGACGTGTTAGGAAGAGTGCGTTCCTAGGAGCTGACACCCCATGTCCCAGGTCTTCTACTGAGTGCCCCGCGTCTCTGTCGTAGCAATTGTTAGTCATACCATGCTGCAGTGCAAGGAGCATGCTGTTGGGAGGAGAGAGCAAAAATGACAGAGAGGTGACCTCATCAGTCCGCTGCTTCACCTTTCACTGTCCAGTTATAAGGTGGGGGGGAGGGACAGAACCTGTAAACATGGTGGATGGTGAGAGAGGTAAGCAGTTTTTAATGGTGAAGGTGGTTCAGGGAAAGAGGGTGCAGGTGATGGTGACGGGGGGTCAGGGGATGAGCGTTTTTGATGCGTTTAGGGCCATTTTTGTTAGTTTGAAATGGGGTTCCAGTGCGTTTGCATGCTTCCCAGAGCGTTCCAGCGCAGGTAAAATAGGGCTTGCTGCAGTTTTTTTTTACATGCTCTAAGGGCCCATTCACACCATGTCCGGATCAGATGCGGTTCCGGTACATTTTTCTCCCGCACCAAAAATGCATCCCAATGTATTTGTATGTGATTTTTGGGCTCTGTTCACACCGGTCCGTTCCAGTGCAGAAAAAAAAAAATGCACCATGTCACATTTTTTCTGCACTGGAACGCACCCGAACCGCACTGCACTGGAACGCAACAGAAGCTATGACATGGAGCAGGAAGAGATTAATTTGCATAATGACATTACCCTCAAAAAACAGAGAACGCACTGGCACGTGTCACGAACGCGTCACAAATGCACTGCACCCCGTTTGCCGAAACGCATGCAGATCTGGTGCGGACGTGGTGTGACAGGGCCCTTAAACTGAACGCTGCGGTGTGTGAACTAGAGCCCACAATACCATTGGAATACATTGGACGCAGTTTTGATCCCGGTCTGTAACTGCTCCTGGAATGCGCTTGGTGTGAACGTGGCCGATCAAAACTGGAGCAGACAAAATCTGGAGCAGCTGATTGGTTGCCGCGCACAGCCGCTCCAATTTTGGTAAATTCCCCTCAATGAGATTTTACATTATAAAAGATGCGCTTCCTCTTCACGGGAAATTTTCCGAGAGCGAGGAGGTGAAGAGGCAACCGGAGGACGAGAGGAAGGCGAGCTCGGAGCGCTCCCAGGAAGAGGACAGCGCCGAGGAGCTGGAGAGTAACGAGATCAGCAAGAGAGAGGAGACCCCCGAGGACGAGATCGACAATCATATCACCGACGAGATCAACCACATGGAGCCTCCCAAGGACAATCAGGAAGACGCCAGCGACGGGGCATCTGAGGAGGAGGCCGTGTCCAAGAAGGATCCCGAGGAGATCGGAGACCATGACAAGGAAGATCTGAAGCAAGAGAGCAACGAGACGGAAAACGAGGAGGACGACACCCAGCGGGAGGACAGTACGTTGCCTGTAATGATTGACAGCTAAAAGAAACCAGCGCCAGACCAAATGCCCATAGACCGTGAAGACTTTATTTTATCATAAAGCAGGGGTAGCCAACCAGCGGTCCTCCAGCTGTGGGTGAAACTACAAATCCCATGATGCATCTCTCTCCGGGAGTCACGTCTGTGGCTCTGAGAATGTTGGAATGCCTCATGGGATTTGTAGTTCCACCGCAGCAGGAGGGCCACTGGTTGGCTACCCCTGATCTAAAGGACACGCCAACACATTTCAGAGGTTATAACAACCCTAACCCCCGTCATCAAGGCTTGAAAGTTGTGGGCAACTCCGGTCCTCCAGCTGTGCTTTAACTACATATCCCAACATGTCTCTGCAACTGGGAGTCACGCCTGGAACTGTCAGTCTCGCAGATGCCTCATGGGAGTTTCACAACAGCTGGAGGGCCAGAGTTGGCCACCCCTAGTTTTGGGTGTTCTCCAGTATTAAGTGCAAGGCTCCAGAAGCTGATGATGGGGGATCCCCATAATGCATTGATTAGATGATGAGAGAGACTCTTCATGGTCTTTCAGCATTTGGTCTGATGCTCCCCGTTTTATTCCTGTACCTCTTGGGTTTCACTGGATCACCACCAGCCTACATGAGCTGCCAGTCAGAACCCTTGTACCTTTCAATAGGGTTTATAGCTTGTGTGGGAGATCACTCTACCATTGCAACCAGCACCTCCTCTCTTCATCTTACAGTCCGTGCACTCGCAGGCGCTGCTCCACAAATGGAAGGCGGGTGCAGCAGGTGTCAGCGGGTGGCTTCCAACAAAATATAAGTAAAGAACGGACGCCGGCACGCCAAAGCAAGTTCAGTCCGTGTTTATTAACATACTAGTTGCAAGTAGAACACTCTATACAACGTTTCCGGGTCTCACAGGATCCCCCCCTTCATCAGTCAAACAAGCGATCAGCGCAAACAAGTGATTGCCTGATGAAGGGGGATCCTGTGAGACCCGGAAACGTTGTATAGAGTGTTCTACTTGCAACTAGTACGTTAGGATTACAGGAAGGCGCACATTACAGTATTGGTTTCTGTTAAAACATCTGAGGGTTTAATGTCACTTTAAGCTAATACGGGGGGGCTATCATTACTCACCTCTCCTTCAACAAATGTCTTCAGTACTTTGTGTCATACTGACCTGCCACAAGTATGCAGATCCAGAGTTTGTACTTCATGCTCATTCATATTCCAGGCCAAGGACCCTTAGTATTGAGCCCAGAGACAGCCGGGCACCTAGAATTTCATAAGCAGGTCCCCATATTTCTGGTTCCCTTTCAGTATGGATGTCTCGATCTTTTATTAAAGTTTATCAGGAGGTACATCATGAAGGCAGTGTAAGGAATAGGTCACAATTCAAGTAAGGATGGTCTGATCTTTGAAAGAGGCGAGGTTGGCCAAACATGATCTATCCAGGTCTAGCTGAGGAGCGTTGGATCGAGGAAGGAGCAGAACCCATTCATCCTGCACATTGTTCCCTTATCTTCTTTTCAGATTCAATGAGGATCCCCGAAGACGCCAGGTCAGAGGCGGAGACCAGCAAGGAAAGCCAACAAGAAAGCGAAGCGGCTGACTGTTCCGACGACGAAACGGCCAAAGACCTCGAGGATTCCAAACGATGGAACAAAATGGATGAGCTGGCCAAGGAACTCCGAGCCAAGAGGTGCGCCAAACGCGACACCAGCGAGGAGGACCCAGACCGATCCATGAGACTTCCCGTCGCAGACCAAAAGTACGAGCCGGCCAACGAGGAGCGTGAAGACAGACAGCAGCAGCAAGCCTCCAGAGAAGACACGGAGCCTCAAATGTCCAAAAGGCCAGAAGAGAGGAAGGAGGAAGAAGGCAGTGCCAACAGGAAGACCGAGGTTGGTGTTAGAACATCAGAAAGGTCACAGTAAAAGCAGCGGCTCGTGCCATTGTCAGCTACAATGGTACGTTGTCCATGAGCGTGTCTCTGCATCCCCTCCCCCGCACTGCCATCCTGTCATCTAAATACGAACATAATTTAAGAGGGAAACGCATATCATTGTAACATTAAACTAATGCAACGTTCACACTTTTTCACATGCTTCCTGTTCCATATTTTCATAATTGTATTTCTTATATAGATCTGCTAATTCTCCAAGTGGAGCCTTTAGAACAGAAGGAGCACCACAGCAAATGTACAGAGTCCAAAAGACCTTATGTTTGCTCATATAGTATTATTATAGTATACAGGATTCATAGAGCGCCAACAGTTTGCGCAGCGCTGTACAATATAAGGAAGACATTACAATCCCAATACAAGACGGTAAGGAGGGCCCCGCCCCTGAGGGCTTACAATCTGAAAGGGAATAAAAAGTATTAAAAAAAAGCCAGGCTAATGCGTTTCGGGGGATTCCAATGTGTCTCCTTCATCAGGGCTTAAAACTAAGTTTACAAATATGAATTCTGGAATTAACAAAGATACAAAGAGATCCAATGACAGTGATTTTTAGTTTACTGCGCGCCTCTCACAGCTGGTTCAGATGACATCACCTATTGATCTCTGTAGCTGCCTGCTTGGTTGGTTGGCTGACTGTGCCGTCATGTCTCTTGAAATGATAAAACAATCCCTAATCTTTTTAAAATAAAACCTTTTTTCCTCATTTCTTGTATCTCAGTGCGGCTGATCTCATGCAGTGACACCTGACTGAACATAGACTTATATAATGCGTAACTCTATAAACCATAAGCTGCTGCGTGACCTCAATACAGGTAGTGAATGTATTCTCGCATCACATAGGCCCGGTTCACACCTGGGCGTTTTGTAGCGCGTTCCTACGCTCTACAAAACGCTCAAACACCGAAATCCCATTATTTCCTATTGGTATGGTTCACACCTGGGCGTATTTCAGGCCGTATGAACGCGCTACAAAACGTCCTACACCCAAAGAAATACATGTACTTCTTTGGGGCGTTTTGGGTGCGCGTTTCTATTGGGATACAGCCAAGTAGCCCTCGGAAACGCGCGTTTTTTTTTACCGCGAACGCGCATATTCAATACGCCTAGGTGTGAACCCAGCCATAGGGATTAGGATCAGTTTGTTAGTGCTGCGATTTGAGAATACATTTCTTTCATCACGAGGGAAGGCCAATAAGTTCTGACCCGCACCATGATCTACCGTGTTTCCCCGAAAATAAGACACTGTCTTATATTTTTTTTGGCTCCAAAAAACACACTAGGTCTTATTTTCGGGGGAGGTCTTATTTTCGGGGGAGGTCTTATTTTTTATTTATAACAATCCAAAGTTATTGCAAATCCAAATTAAATAATCCAAAATGGCAAAGTTAAGAATAGGGTGATCAGGGCAATCGGGGGTGCCGCACCTTTCCAAGAGCAATTTGGTAACCAGAATGAGCGAAGCACACTTTCATTCCTCACAGGCGGAGTGCATTTGGCATCACTCCGCCTGTGACAGGAGCCGGCGCTATAGAGGAGACATCGGCTTATGCGGCTCTGCTCCCTCCGCTGTCGCCTCGCTTCCTCCAGCGCTGGCTTCGTTGGCACCGCTGATTCTCTCCCGCGGCTCTTCAAGTTCCCCCTTATGCCACCACTGGCCCTGGGAAAGGTCACAACTAGGTCTTATTTTCGCGGTAGGTCTTATAGTTTAGCAATTCCCAAAAATGGTGCTAGGTCTTATTTTCGGGGATACAGGGTAGATGTGCTAGGGATCTGAACTTTTGCAGGTTTAGAGGTGGATATTAGTAATACGCATGCCAATGTCGTGGTGAATTATAGTTCGAGCCAAGAGAAATGGAGTAGGTGTCACGCCGGACAAATTGAATACCGAGCTGCGTGTTGCTGCTAGCCGACAATGCGCCTGCACATCGAGCTGCAGAAACTGGCTCTGAATCTCTGCCCCATCCACCTTACTCACCTTACTCACCTGACCTGTCACCTTCGGACTTCTTCCTGTTTCCAAATCTGAAGAAACAGCTTCAAACGCCCCAACAATGATGTCAGCTAGCAGCAACTCACAGCTCGGTTTTCAACTTTGTCCTGCATGACACCTACTCCATTTCTCTTGGCTCCTAGCTGCAGCCAGGTAAGACATCCCCCGAAAATAAGACCTAGTGACTTTTTTTCGTGAAAATAAATAAATAAGACAGTGTCTGTTTTTCGGGGAAACGCGGTATAATTCACCACGGCCTACAAACACAAACGTTGGCCTATTACTAAGATATCCACCTACAAACCTGCAAAAT